CGATCACCCATGGAGCGATCACCCATGGAGCGATCACCCATGGAGCGTTCACCCATGGAGCGATCACCCATGGAGTATTCACCCATCAAGCATTCACCCATCAAGCATTTACTTCTCGAGTGATCACTCATCAAGCATTTACTTCTCGATTGATCACTCATGGAGCGATCACCCATCGAGCATTCACCTTCTGAGTGTTTTAACCATCAAATGTTCACCCATTGAGCCTTTTACCCACTAAGTGTTCACCCATCTCCCATTCACCCACTGAGTGTTTCAACCATTAATTGTTCACCAATCAATCTGTCATTCAATGAACTTTCACCTTTCAAGCGTTCACTTATCAAGACTTTACTCTTTGAATCATTCACCCATCTAGAACCCACCTGTCAAATATTCACCCATCAAGCGTATGCCGATTGAGTGTACCTTCACAGAAAAAACCATGTACTGTACAGGTGTGTAACAATGGCACATCGACTGCTGAGAAAACCAGAGGGAAAGCGAACACGCACTGCTCTGAGCGAAGAAAGGCACAAAGAGAGACGACAGCACAACATTTCACTGCAAAGGAAACACAGAGACAGCACAACATTGTTGCTGAGATCCAAATACCAGCAAAGAGGAGACGTTTTAACCACAATTCCCCTAAAATCCTGCTCTGATACACAACACAAGGTTTACATTGAACACCAATGCTTTACACTGTTGCCTATGACCTGTCTCAGCATCGTGCTTGCAGTTTTTTTACCAAGATGACCCAACTGCTGACACGTTAGTGGCTCTTCTTTAATGCATGGAGGTTTGTTTGGCACTTTCAATATATTTTTTATAAAACAACAAATTCTTAACAGAGGAAATGATGACAAAGAACAAAATAAAACTGTAACGTTGTAACAGAAAATTGTTTTACAACTTTTACAGACAGCTTTAATTCATTTAATTGTCTGTACAAGAGTTTCTTCTGAAAAAGTAGAGATCAAACTGAACTCCAGCTGCTTGTATTTTTTTTATTAATTTTTTTTATTAAAAATGTTAAACACAAACACTTTCATAGTTCAGAAAGTGCGGTCACAAGTTCAAAAACATCCCAAAACAGGCTAAAGCCACTTCTGCTCGTTTAATTTAGTGTAAAAATGCCTCAGGATGAACTCATCCAGCATCAAAGAACAGCCAGCAGCAGAAATATAGATTTTATTTTCTCTCAAACCTTTTCTTAAATATATTTTTCTCAATGTTTTTGTTCGAGTTTGTCGTTAAAGTTCTAAAACGTGTTCGGAAAATGACAAAACTACCTGAGATTGGTCATTTAGCACGTCTATAATGCACAAAATATCTTTTGTCTTATACTCTGACTTGCAGTGATTTATTATAAAAAAATATATACTATGTTTAACGTGAGAAAGACTGCATTAAAACAAAACCCTGCAGGATCGTATAGTTTTTCAGATTAGTGGAAAATCTGCCTGAAACGAGCTTTTCTCCGAACGTTTCTGAGCACACATCACCTCTGATGGACGATAACGATGGAGATAATGAGACAGACGGACTTTACATGCAGAGATATATTCCATTCATGTTTGTTTATAATCACATATTCACATGTAAGTGCCAGAGCGAGTGTAAGAAAGGAATAAGTGTC